CATTGCCCTACCTATAGGAGAAGTTTGGTTTCATTGGTGTGTATATTTGTCTGGTGATAGAGAAAACTCTCCTTGTCTTTTAAAGAAACTGAACAAGGGTTCAAAAGCTTAACCTTCGATTTTCTCAAAACAGCATTTTTCGGGATAGCCCCAGTGTGCTTAAAAGCGACCATAATATGTATTAGTCTTTTCCATTGATTCCAGAGTTATGATTTAGCTACAACCACCCCCTCCCCCCTTTTATTTATTTTTTTTTTGAAGAAGAAGAAGAATTTAAAAATACAACAAAATTTAAATATTGCCTGGAACAATTAATCAATCAATATGGAAATATTCCGGCGCTGCTCGGTGGCGACGAGGCTCGTGCAGATCTCCGTAAATTTCCCTCTGGGATAATAAAGTCTTATCTCATCTTATCTTATATTATTTCAAAGGCCTTTTTTCGGAAAACTGGGACTCAAATTTCCCTCTGGGATAAGAAAGTATTATCTTATCTTATCTTATTTCAAAGGCCTTATTGGGAAAACTGGACGGAACTCACCTCGTTCACCGCTGACCAGTCCGTGGCTGGCTACTGCAGCACCTCCCTGTGAGAGCCGCCCCTTCTCAGACATGCAACAGGCAGGGAGCCACACGACTTCTTCATCCTACAGTGCTGCTGGTGGTGGTGGTGGTGGCTCGCCTCAATGCCAGAGGGTTTAAGGATCGAATCCTTGTCCTTCTCGTCGCGTGACTTGAGAGTAGAAGAAGACACGACGATCTGACTCAGAGTGCAAGTGTGACTGTTGTTAGGTTTGGCTTTGCTTTGCCTGCTGCGTCTTCGCTGATCACGTCACGTGTCCTTCTGGAGAAGAAAGAATAAACAGGGGTTTAGTTTTTCATTTTTTAGTAGAGGATTTACGGTGCTCAAAACTGCATAAGGTCATATGAGCGCCAGAAGATTAGAGGTGTTACAAGAGAGTAACAAACATAAAAAAAGAAGAAGGGGAGATACGGACGATAGATGTGTTTGATAGGAAAGAAGAAGCAAACCACACTAGAGCACCCACCAACCACCCATAAACAAGGGTTTGGAGTTGATGCTGGGGTATTGATTTTTTTTTTAGAAACAAATTCAGGCAACACATTCCTCGCTGTTTATTGTTGTAACCGCGCTAGCCTAGGCGTGTTTGTTGGGGGGATGGGTTAATGAGGTTAACATGGGATGTTCAGCATTTCAAGCATATTTCAGAAAAAAGATACAGA